GTCCATGACCCAAGTGGAAGCCTAGATACTGTACCTCCACCCATCCTATCATGCACTTCTTTGGGTTGGCCGTGAGTCCAGCCCATCTCAGCACCCTCAGGACAGCCCTCAAATGCTGCATGTGGGGCGTATGCGCAGTGAGGGCAGAGAATTCTGTTCATAAGCCACTGAAATAGCCCAAACGGGAGCATGACAAATTGGTGTAACCCAAATGGTGTACAGAAAGCCATTTTTTCACAGAATACCAGAGTCAAGGGGATCTGCCAGTATCCCTTGGTTAAATCCAGTGTTGAAAAGCTAGCAGCACCTGACCGATCGAGCACTTCATTAACACGAGGCATTGGGTCGAATTTAGACACCGCATTGAACTCTCTCTAGTAAACACAGAACCAAACAGTCCCTTCGGGCTTGGGGACAAGCATCATGGGACTGCACCAGTCACTGTGCGACTCCTCGATTATCCCCATGTCAAGCATAACCTTGATTTCATCCCGAACCAGTTTCATTCAGGTAAGTGATAAGGCCGGCTTCATACAACCACATTGAGAGGAGTCTCAGTCTGGTGTTCTTTGAGTTCAGTACCACCAGGCAGAGGCAAAATACCATCGGAAACTCTGTCTGCAACCTGGCAAACCAGGGAAACAGGGACTGCCTCCCTCCATGGATTTAGGAGGTTATGGTGGTATACCTGAAGCCCTCCACCTCTGTCTGACCTGCTCATAGTTGACTTCTCCTACTTGCTGTGTGACCTCAAAGGGTCCTTGCCACTTGGCAAGTAATTTAGAGCTGAACATGGGGAATAAAATGAGCATTGTGTCTCCCGGTGTAAACCCACACAGCTGAGTGCCCCTGTTTTAGGTGCGGCTCTGACGTTCTTGAGCCTGGAGCAAATATTCCTGAGTTAAGTGCCCTAGTGCGTGGAGTTTTACTTGAAGGTCCCTCCTCCCAATACTCTCTGATGATGTCTAGGACGGCCCGGGGCCTCCTCCCATGTAGTACCTCAAAGGGAAGAACCCTGTGGAGGCTTGCAGGTCCTCTCGCACTGCAAACAATAAGGATTCTTCCCACTTATCTCAATTTTTAGTGTCCTCATGCACAAACTGAATCATATTTTTAAGGGGCTGATTAAAGCGTTTAACCAGTCCATCCATTTGGGATGAGTAACAGTGGTACGAATCAATTTAATGCTCAAGAATTCATGTCAAGTGCATGACATGAAAGTAGTGCCCTGGTCATTTAGGATATCTTTGGAGATTCCAACTCAGGAGATCACTCAGAAGAGTGCCTCCGCAACACTATGTGCTGAGACGTTCCAGAGCGGCACTGCCTCCGGGTGTCAACCAGGACAAATACAAAGCGGTACCCTCGTGCACTCCTATCTAAAGGTCTGACAAGGTCCATACCAATTCTCTCTGGAAAGGGGACTTCGATTAAAGGCAATGGGCGCAATGGCACTTTTGAGATGGCCGGAGGGTTTACAAGCTGACATTCACATGACACACACCACCTGCGTACATCCCCATGATTGCCTGACCAGTGTCTTTTCCTGCACCATATGCCCGGCCATTGGACTGTTGTAAGCTGCTTGAGCAGATTGCTTTTTGGCACTAACAAGTGTGTGGTCACTTCTGCTGTTTGAGTGTCCCTCATCACTCTACACAACTTCTTGTTAATAACAGCGAGAGGATAAAACAAGGGGATGCCTGGCTTGAGTATTTGAGCATCAATTAGTCAAATGCAATTTTTAGGGTCCCATCCTATAACTGCTTCAGAGGGAAATCCCCAAGGGGAGCCATCGGGGTGGGCCAAAGGGCGGAATCCTGGGGCATCGCTGACCATGGGCCCCACCCCTTCGATTGCCCCCAGTCTTGGAAGAGCCCCTGACAGGGCTAGAAGCATGCTTGACTTAAAAGTTGAGCATGTCCCACCCCATTTCTTTTTGTGGAACCCACCCTCTAACAATTCCTTTACTAAACCCTTAACTGAAGGAAATTAGTTCCCAAAATCAGAGGATGGGAAAGGTGAGGACCATACGCCGCCTTAACACTATGTTTCTCACACTGAAAATCAATTGTGATTGACACAAGCGGATAATCCCCATGAACACACCGCACCTTCACCCAATAAGCCTTCTCCAATGCCAAATCTTGAATCAAATATTGGTAGATTGTGGTTTGATTACAGGCAGAATCAACCAAAGCTTAATATGTACTCCCTTGAATACTCGCTGGTGTACAGTATGTTCCTGCTCGACTGAGGGGGTGTGTGGCAGGGCGGGAACCCGGACCAGCGTCCATGTGGTGACACTGATTCTGGAAATTTCCAGGTTTACCGCAGCGCCAACACACCTGCCCAGGCTTCAGACAGCTCTTGTGGGCTCAGCCGGTTGTTCTGTTCTAAGATTGTCCTGCTCCAGAGTATACCGTTATGTATGCCTCTGCCAGCTAAGTGGCTTCCTTTAGTGACTCTGGTTGGTGGCACTGAACCCACGTTGCTGTTTCGTTTGGCAGTTGAGCGATGAACTGCTCCGGTACCACCAGGTCTAGGATTTCGCAAGCCTCAGATAGAAGCCACCTCCTGCAGGAGTCGCAGAGCTGCTGCGCAAACATGAAGGGCTGACCGAACTCCTGCAGTGTCAGCAGCCAAAAGCGCTGTCTGTGTTGTTCTGGAATATGGCCAACCTTCTAAAGGATGGCCTTTTTCATCTTGACGTATTCCAGCTGTGCCAGGGCGGTGAGATGCTGGGTGGTGAGTTGGGAGGATCAGAAGCTGTCAGACAGCCCAGTCCTTCTTTGGCCACCCACTCAAAGAGCTTCATGAAGGCCTCTTGGACATCCTGGGAGATCATTTTCGAGAAGGAGATGGTAGCCGCAGCTAGGGTGACGCTGCTTGGCAGCAAGCTCTGCATCAGCTTCTGATCCTCCTCTTGGCCAGGGCCTTGAATCAGTCTCGGTTTTCCCATTGCATCTCAAGGAGGGCTTGGTGCTGTGTCTGCTGCAGGAGGGAATGGACTTTAACGATTTCCCTAAGTGGCAAGGATTCCATGGAGACATGATGTCCTACACTACCCAGGTTTCAGCAATCCTTCACCTGTGATATATGTTGGGTGTTCTACACAGTTACTTGTGATTTACACATTTTTTTATGTGTGAGTACACAACTTTAGTTATAATGGTTTATGATAGATCTTTAGCAATATGCCATCAGAACACCATTAGAATATCACAACATTTTAAGAGCCCAGACTGAGACACAGGCTATTCTGTGCTCATAGGCCTTTCCTTTTATTGTAGGTCTTCCAAATGTTATACTTACTGGGCAACTGCCATTATGTGGATCAAGTATAGACTGACTTTATTGTGACAATGGGTCTATTGTCAAACTGTCTTGCATTCCTGATGCAACAGTCAATGCATATGGCTTTACTGTACTCTGCATATTTATGGCACATGCTTTGATTGTCAAGTTTTCTTATCAAAGGTTGATTACTGCTTGTCAAAATCCTAGCGATAACAAAAAGAAGTCCACGCACACTTGTGGACCACACTTACTGTCTCTGCTTCACTATAGTTGTGCTTTTTGATTTAATGTTTGGTCGCTATGAAACAAAAGGCTTTCCAGAGCATATTCCACCAATACTTAATCCATTTATGTATGATCTTAAGCTCTGTGAGATCCACAATAAGCGTTTTCAAAAAAGGATAAAACATTAAGACAAAAATAAGCTTTTTGTAGGTCACAGTGACTGCTAGACTGTAAGAAAAAACCTTCTGTACTGTGCATTTTTGTTCATCAAGGTACAAACAACTTTGTACCTTTAATTTTTGTATGGATTTGTCTTAGTATATATGTATTTGTATTTTTAAATAAACTAATAAACCGAACAATTAAATAAAAAAGCCTGGTGTCAAGACAAGGTGTGTGGCTTAAGAAATGTAATTCCAACGGGATATGGTAATGAAGATGTACCCTTGAGTGTACCATCCAGTGACAAGGGCTTCCAGTGACAGTTCAGCACTTTTTTCTGAAAATGTGAATATCAATTTGTGTATTATTATTTCTTAACCTGTGGCCTTCAGACCACCAGTGGGCCATGAAGTACCCTCTAGTGGTCCGCGGGCCTGTACTCAGTGGGAGGCAGTTGTTCATACTGGGCCAGTAACGTCATTTTAACTTATAAAAGTCAAAAAAGATTACCTTAATAATTACAAGTCTAAGAATTAAACCTTTTTAAATTATACCCAATTAATATAAATATTAATGCAGACATACAAATAAAAACACAGCAGCAGCAAGCTATACATCATTGTTTGAGACAATGCAGCTGAAAAATACATACAGGATTTGGAGCAACATATGTATCCAGATGACATCTTTATCAGGGAAGGCCTTGCTTATTTCAGTAAGAAAACGCCAAACCAAATTTTGCACGTACTACTACAGCATGGCTCTATATTAAAAGAGTCTAGGTGCTAAACCGGCCTTGCTGTAGTCCAGACCTGTCACCCACTGATAACATCTGGTACATTATGAAAAGAAAAATACGACTAAGGAGACCCCAAACTGTGAAGGAGCTGAAATCCTATAGTGAACAAGAATGGAAAAAATATTATTTTCATAATTACACCAAACGTGCCAACTATTTTGAATCATGTTGCTGACATCAAATTCAAAACGGGCATATATTTAAAAAACCCACAAATTTTCTGTTTCAACATTTTTATATGTTGTCTTTGTACTACTATTAATTAAATATCGGGTTTAAATGATCCGCACATCATTGGATTTTGTTTTATTTACATTTAGTGCATAAGGGACTGAACCAAAACAATCATCTCTGTTTAGCCTCAATTAAAGGCCTAAATGTTAGTACAGACATTTTAGAAAGTAGTTTCAGACATCCCTCCTATTCTTACAGAAATCTACGCCTATGAGTGATGTAATCTTAGGAGTAAGCTGAAGAGACAGAGAGCATATAAAGGTCGAGGTGGTAAGTAGGATTAGAAAATTTACTGGTATGGTGACACTTTTACTACTTACTGCCTGCTCTGGACTTTTTTATGTATTTCACAATGTGGCTGATTAGTTAGCAAACATGAAATCAGTTAACTTGTATGCTTATATGGAGTCTCTTAAAATCCTCTTCTGTCTTCCTAAGTTCATCTAAACTTTTAAAAACACTGAATTTTTTATCTATTCTGATAATGGACAAGAAATAGTTTGTAGTTTTTGTTTAATTTTCATTTTATGCTTTTCTGAACCTTCACTTTCTCTTAACATGGAAGACAACACATCACTTACTCCAATATTTGTTTTGTCTGGAATGAAGCATTTGACACCAAAATATCTTTTTGTGTTTCTGTCTCTCTCTGTTTATCTCTTAATCATTCTTTTGAACCTGATGTTGATTGTAACAATCCTCTTAGAGAAGTCTCTGCATGAGCCTATGTATCTTTTTGTATGTAATCTCTGCTTTAATGGACTCTATGGAACAACAGGATTTTATCCTAAATTTATATATGATCTGTTATCGCCTTCACCTGTGATATCATATGTTGGGTGTTTTACGCAATCATTTGTGATTTACTCATCTTTTACATGTGAGTTCACAATTTTAGTTACAATGGCTTATGATAGATATGTAGCAATATGCAGGCCATTAGAATATCACAACATTTTAAGAACCCAGACAGTGGCAAAGGCTATTCTGTACTCATGGGCTTTTCCTTTTTTGTTATTACTCCCACACCTTGTACTCACTGTCCAACTACCATTATGTGGATCAAGTATTGACAGACTTTATTGTGATAACTGGTCTATTGTCAAGCAATCTTGTATCCCGACTACAACCATCAATGCATTAAGCTTTACGCTTCTGTTAATAGTTATGGCTCATGCTTTTATTGTCATGTTTTCATATCAAAGATTAATTGTTGCTTGTAGAAATTCTAGTGATAACAAAAGAAAGTTTATACACACCTGTGGGCCACATTTAGTGTCTCTGATGAACTTCTCTATTGCTTTGCTTTTTGATATAATTTTCAGTCGCTATGGGTCAGAAGACTTTCCAGAGCATCTGCGGAACGCTTTCCAAGTTGAGATTCTTGTCATTCCACCTATTGTTAACCCACTTATATATGGCCTTAAGCTCTCAGAGATCCGCAAAAGACTTTTTCAAAAGTCTCAAAAACAAAAAAAAACAAGATTAGCTTTTTGTAGATCAAAGTGACTGCTGGATATTACTGTGGATATTACTCTGTTTTTTTACCAACTGTTTTCTTATGTTTTAATAGCTGTCAAGTCCTTTTTCCATGTGTTGCTGTCAACTGAGCAATTCCTTGATATTATATTTGGCCACATTATAGAACCAATATAATTTTTTATTGAACCGTATTTAAAACTTAATGAAGATATATAAACATAAGACTAATTTAGTCACTGAGAGCAGGAGGCTCTCCAACCATGTAAATGCAGATATAACAGTTAATCATTGTAACATAATAATAACACAAGAAAAAAGTTCAAAATTACTTCTCATGCAGTCTATTGTGTAATTAAAAAAAGTTTGTTATGGTATATTTGGTCAGTCTACACACAGCTAGTTTGTAGTTTGATTTACTTCAAGAATTTTGTCATCATCATATCTAGTCCTAATTTCACTCATTGGTGCTGAAATATGAATATGTAACAGCGAACACTGACACAGAGTATGCACTCCATTAGAGTTAATTCCATGTCCAACTATTGAAAAATGCAACATTTCTCTGCTTTAGCACAACCCACACCCATGCAGTCTTGTTATGAACTGATGAGTGGAGGGAGGGGGTGCAGACTTTCTCTGTTCAGCCATTTTTTGCCTTATAAAGCAAAAATAAATTGTGTTAAAAACATAATACATTTCTACTATCATTTATGTACCCACTTTTAACTTTTTCAGGTTTTGCCTTGTCCATTTTTTGCTTTTTAAAACAGTCAAAATTTCATGAGGTATTAGAATTTAACCCTTAGGGCTATTCTATTCCTGCTCAAAGGACAAGGTCGAAAACCAACATTGGATGGCTGTGATCTTTGGGCCCTCAGGTGGCACTACATTAAAAACAGACATGATTCTGCAGTGGAAATCATTGCAGGGGCTCAGGAACACTTGTGAAAACCACTGTCTGTGAACACAGTTCATTAATGCATCCACAAATGCAAGTTAATGCTGAACAACTTATACAGGTTTTGGAACAACATATGCTGCCATCTAGACAACGTCTTTTTCAGGGAAGGCCTTGCTTATTTCAGCAAGACAATGTCAAACCACATTCTGCATGTATTACTACAGCATGACTCTACAGCAAAAGAGTCTAGGTGCTAAAGTGGCCTGCCTGCAGTCCAGACCTGTCACCTATTGAAAACATTTGGCACATTATGAAACAAAAAAAAACAACAATAGGGACCCCAAACTGTTGAGTAGCTGAAATCCTATATTAAGCAAGACTGGAAAAAACATTTCACTTTTAAAATTACAGCAATTGCTCTCCTCAGTTCCCAAATGTTTACAGAGTGTTCTTAAAAGTGGTAAACATGCCCCCATGCCAACTTTTTTGAATTATGTTGCTGGCATTAAATTCAAAATGGGCATATATTTAAAAAAAAACACTTTTTCTGTTTCAACATTTGATATGTTGCCTTTGTACTATTTTGAGTTAAATATAGGGTTTAAATATGTCATGCCTCACTCCAGCGCAGCTGAAACTACAGTCAACACGGCCGCCTCAGACTACAGTTCCCAGAACCCCTAGCTTCATCACAGGACTCAGGACTCTACCTGATCCACCTATCAACGCTCTGCTTCTCCGGACTTCTAATCACACACACCTGTTTCTCCCTGTATATAATCAGTCTGTTTGTAACCACACTTTGTGAAGTATCGTCACCTTGTCGTGCATACGGAGCATTTCTCACATCTGTTATCTCTTTTCTGTGTATGACCGATACTATGTTTATGAACTTGATTTCTGCCTTGCCCCTTTGCTCAGTTTTGGATTTCTGGTTTTTGACTATATGTTTCTGTTTTTTGACTGTGATTTTGGATTCTTACTTTGGCATTAAAGTTTATTACTTAAGCCTCTTCTGCGCACAAAGTGGTTGTTCAGAAGGTCTTGAGCGACCAAGGTCAGCTTCTGGGACATCACCAGCAGGTACTGGCAAGTGTTACTCAATCTGTTCGTGATCTCACACAACAACAAGCTGAACAGCAGGCCCAGCTCATTCAGCTCCTGACAGGAGTTATCGCCAGACAACTGCGAGATATCACCACACGACTGCAAAATCTCTTAGTCTGCTCATCTGCTCCTATTTCTGCCCTAGTTTCTGTCACAACCAATACAGTTTCAGTGAGTTATACCCTTGCATTTCCTGTGAGTAAACCGGGTGAGTTTGATGGATCTCCCGATAGATGTTGGGGTTTCCTTCTACAATGCTTTGTGTTCAGGGATGGAGGATAAGCTAAGTAGCATGCTACTTTTTGTAGTGAACTACAAATTTTTGTAGCTAATAGCTGTAGCTGCTACAGTTTTATGAAATGTAGCTAATATCTGTAGCACCTACAAATTTTTGTGTAGCTATAGCGATAATTTTCGCTACAATTTCGCTACAGACTTCAGGCAATCTGCGCAAAATGTGAACGTGATCATTAACTGGGCTGGTGGCGATTGCGCAACCCTGACTGAGCCACGGACAGTTCAAGCAAACGGTCCTGCGCTGGCCCCACATGCTGATCACCCCATACTAGTAGGCTTAGCTCAGGGGTCAGCAACCGAAATGTTAAGAAGAGCCATTTGTCCTTTCAACAAAAATGAAACCCCTTTGGGAGGCAAGACATTTTATATCTGTTTTACCATCATGGCTGTAAGTATGTCTCAGTATGTGCTAATGTACTAGTATAGACTAAAAAACATAATATAAACAAAAAACACAGACTTACTTCACTCTGCTTTAACCTTTAGATCAGCTGTAGCCGCTTTTCTCGCACCTCAGTCAGGAATATTTTCAGCGAAAGTTTCTTGTAAAATGTCTTTCAATGTTCGACCTTTTACGAGGCTGAAGTCATTCATTCTCCAGCTTCTCATTCAAATTGTCCCGTTCCACCTTAAATGGTGCCTGAGGCGCCAGACCATGCTGCTGCACCATTTAAGATGGAACGGGAGAATTTGAACGAGAAACTGGTGAATAAGAAGCTTCAGCTTCGCTACTTGTTGCAGATTAAACATATCAGGAAACCAGCTGAGTGATTATAAAGGCAAATATGTCCAATCATCTTCAAATTATCGATGTTCATCTTAAATCTCTCTCTTTGCCATTTCCTTATCTGCATTGCTGTGTGTCCAGCAGTCTCCACATCAGTCTTCAGCGTTAAAGGTTGGTGAATTAGCAGTTATACATTAACTCCAGCATTTAAGACCATTTACTGTGTAACTGTGTTAGAACTGTGTGTTATAACAATTTTACAACAAAGGAGAATTATGTTATTTTACCTAAAAATCAAATTCTGCTGTGGAGTCACAACAGCTCTGCAGCAGTGGAGAGATTATTCAGGCCTGATTCTCACCCCAAACAGTCAGGGTCACTGATGAGAATTTGAAGGCTAAAGTGTTTCTGAAGTTTAATAAAGTGTCATGTCTGTATATCTTGCTGAAATGTTTAAACGGGAGCAGTTTTATTTTCACAGTTGACAATGCTTTGCACAAAATTGTTTTGTTTTTATGTGGTTAATTTTTTCCGATTTTTGTTAGGAAAAACCTGGAATGATTGGCTTTGCCTTTACTTAGTCTAAATTTTTGTTGGATATCGTGCCTTTGGTTGTGTAAGTTTGATTGTTGGCTACACTCAAACTTACTTTTTGGTGATCTTTTTGTGTATTTGCAGCTTTACAATTAAATGTTTTTTTTCTGGCACATGATTAAATGCAGTGTCACACTATCAGTTGGGCTTGTTTGGTGTGTCAGGTGGAGATTCACAAACATTCTGATAATCGTGCTTTGAAAGTAGCTTAAAAGTAGTGCACTACTTTTCAAAACGTAGCTAAAAAGTAGTCACTATTTTTTCTGGAAAAGTAGCTAAATTGTAGATAACTACAATTTTTGGGAAAGTAGCTAGAAAGTAGATAACTACTAATTTTTCCATAGCTATCCCAACCCTGTCTGTGTTTCAAAAATTCCCCAGCTAGTATTGATCAGGCCAAAATAGCCTTTGTTATATCACGTCTTTTGGATAAAGCTTTAGAATGGGCCACTGCTGGGTGGTCTCGTATCTAAGACATGACATTTCTGAAAGACTTTAAGACTGTGTTCGATCATCCTCATGATGGTCCACTTCCAGCTCCCGTTCCAGTGGCAGTCCCAGTTCCAGTTCTAGCTCGGCTCCAGAACCCAAGCAGTGTGACTCTTCCAGACCATCCAGAGAAGAGAGGCTTCATCGTCTTTATGGAGGTCTGTGCATGTATTGTGGCACTGCTGGTCACGTTTTACGTGACTGTCGGGCTCACCGCACAGACCTCAGGCACCAGCCCTGGGATTCCGCTAATGTGGTGAGTGTTCCCACAAAGAGGTAGGTTTCAAAGTCTGTACTCCTTCCTGTTACTGTTTGCTACCCACAATCTTCTCTTGTCATTCCAGCATTAATTGACTCAGGAGCCGACGGGAACTTCATACATTCCAACGTGGTGGCTCAACTACACATTCCAGTACATGATCACCAGACACCACTCAAAGTCACCCCATTGGATGGAGGAAACATCAGAGTGTATCCTGTCTCCTTTGTCACAGAACCTATTCACCTAGAGGCCAGCTTTCTTCATAAAGAACAATCGCCCTTTCTAGTCACTGACTCTTCTGAGTTCTCTATCATTTTAGGTCACCCCTTGCCACAAAAACACAATCTGCAAATCTCTTGGTCTACTCAAGAAATCACAGTTTGGTCAGATTATTGCCTTTCTAATTGCCTCACTTCACCAGAACTTAAAGTTAGGTCCACCTCAACAGAGAGTCCAAAACCCATACACACTACTCAAATTCCCCCTGAATATCCTGATTTGGTTGAAGTTTTCCTTAAAAAGAATGCAGCTAAACTTCCTCCTCACCGTCCTTATGATTGTTCCATTGATACCATAGAAAGTGTCACTTTGCATAAATCATGTGTTTACCCTTTGACTCAAGAAGAAGAGAAAGCCATGGGGGATTACATTGACAAGGCTTTAGCACAAGGTTTATTTGCCCCTCAACATCGCCAGCTGCATCTGGATTTT